TGAAGGAGTTGGACTCACTGGCCTTCTAACTCTAAATACATGATTCTATAATCCTATGAACTCTACCACTCTATGACCTTCCACCATCCAGCACTTAGCATAGTGCCTGGCTGAAAGTAGGTGTTTATCACCTACCTGATAAATGTTTTATCAACTGACTGACTAACTGACCATTCTTAACTTTCCCTCATTGAGCTCTCTCACTCTTTCGGTAACACTCTTCCTCATACCGGTATCTTTGAATGAGGCAAAACCCATTCAGTGAATAGGCCTCTTTAAGGAGTGAGTCAAGGGATGGCCCCTTTAATTAAAAAAAAATCAAACTGGGAGGGGAAGACCCTCTCAAGGTGAGAACTTGAAAAAACCTTAGCTTAAAAGGGCCATCTCCAGTTCTCCTGATCAATATCTGATCACTGAACCCAGATGGCTCTGGAGGAGAAAGTGAGGCTGGTGACCTTGCACAGCCCTGCCTCACTCAAATCAAAGTCAATTGCAAGTCATGTCATCATCTCCCTGATGGCATGGTCTTCTTCGAGAATGAAGCACAAACCACAATCCCCATACCCTCAGTTCCCTGGGGCTCTCATTCTTTCTCAAATTTTGTTTTCAGGAAAAGACTTGAAACTCAGTTACACTAAGGTGGAGCTGAGAGATAAAGTTTAAAGATAGAGTTTAAAGTTCTTTGCCTCCTAGAGCACTGGTATTTTAATTACAATCAAAATCTTAAACTGAAGGAATAAAGTCCCACTGATGGTGTTTTAAGCATCAGTAAGCTGAGTAAGGGAAAAACAGTTTTTTGGAGCCTGGAAACTAATGGAAGGAGCAGGAAGATCTCTGTCTGTCTTTCTCTTTATCTCTATTCTCATTCTCATATTCTCTCTATCTCTCTTTCTCTGTCTCCTCCCCCGACTTGATGCATTAGTAAGCATTATTTTTCTCAGATTAGCTAGTCTCAAGAGGCTCCCCAAGACTTTCCCCCCACTCTTCCTCCATCAGGTACCCCTCTTTTCCCATCATAAGATCACAGAATTGAGTCTAAAACCTTACGGATAACCTAGCCTAATCCCCTGACCACCCTCTCAATTTACATATGAGGAAACTGAGGCCTAGGGTGGTTACTTAAATGGCTTGTCTAGATCGGATACAGTGAGTAAAGAAACAGTATTCAAATGTAGTGGGACACTTTCCCCACCCCATACTTTTGTTACCCCCCCCCAACAGTTATTCTCCCACATTTTATGGATGCCCAGAGAAGCAAACCAAGGGCTGGGTTGTGGGGAGGGGAAGCAAGAGGGGATCCCAGAGAAAATGGGTAGAACCCAAGAATCTCTCCCACTTGCCCACCAGAACGAGCTTTCCCCCTGAACGTTCCTTTGGGCTGCCTGAGTACCACCCCCAATACCTAGTCAGATGTTTCACAGCCAGTTCCCGGCAAGGCGGTATCCTTCCCTTCTCCTTCCTCCCTCCCTTCCCATCCCATCCCAGAAGGACGTTCTTATGTACTGGAACAGTGGTCTTTCTCCTTAAAGGCTAATTCTTCTACACATCTCTCTTCCCCCCACCCCAAGGTGCTCCTGTGTACCCCCCTCCCCAACCTACCCCCAGCAGGGATCTTTGACACTTGGGCTGTGAAGTTCGGGGTATTTTTAGGCCAGTGATAAATAATTCATAGGGAACAAGACATCAGGTTGCTCCCACCCCCCATGGGAGGAAGGGGCGCGGGCAAGGAGGGCCACAGCTGCCCAGCGGCTCAAGGACATAAGTGATGCTGCGGTGGCTTTGAGCCCCTCCTGGCGGTCAATGCAAGACCGCCCAAACAGTAGCGTTACTCCTACCTGCGGACTCGACCCTCGGGGGGGGGGTACACACACACACACACACACACACACACACACACACACAACACACACACCACACACACACACACACACACCCGTTCCCCAGTACATCCCCACTCCCAGCGAGGTTGCTTCTCCAAACAAGGATCTCCAAGCGTATTACAGAGCCATGCTTTTCCCTCCACCCCCTGTCCCCAGCCCCGAAAGATTAGATACTTTAGGAAAAGAAATCTGGAGCCTGGCTCCTTGCCTGCCCTTAGATCCTTTTCAACTTGCTCTCGGCCCTCCCAGGGACTGAGTCACAGATTCAGGCAAAAGGCGAGGATGAAGGCTAGGAATCTAAGACCAGGACAAGTTCCTACTAAGCACTGGAGGATCAAGTAGGAGGAGAATAAGGGTCGAGGTGTTGGGGGCTCCATTTCGCCCTTTCTCCTCACTAGAATTCCGCCTTTCGTGAGCCATCAGCCTAGGATGTGGAAACAGTATATGGAGTAGGGGTGGGGTGGGAGAGAGACAGAGGGTGGGAGTTCGGTCTAGGAAGATCTGGAGTGTATGTGAGAATAAGTCGTCTTGGCTGGAGCTTACTTTCGGGAACCAGAGACCCTAGATTCTCTCTTCTTTGCTTCGATAGTTGTCCTACAACAGTTCAGCGCTTGGAGATTACAAGGCAGACAGCAACAGCCACAATTCTCCCAGACCCCGCCTGATTCGAGCTGGACGCTAGCTAGATCCCAATATCACCGACCCTTGGGGCTCTTGGCAGAAACCAGGAATGGGGGAGAGCCAGAAGCAAATAGAAGGACCCACAGCTCTCAGCAGCTACCAAGCTAGCCTTGTGCCCAGCGCCTGCCTAGCACACACTTTCCCCCCCAACTTCTTCCTTTCCTGTCCTCGGATACCTGAGTGCGAGGGTCAGTCTTTAGGGATGGGAGGCGAAGAAGCTCTCATACCTCCTCACCGTTCCACCCCGAACCCCCTAAGTTGCAGAATCCCTGGTTTCTGAGAGCAGACATTACGTTGAGGGACGAGGGATGGAGGAAGGAGAGAGGAAAGAAGCGGGGACTGGAGAGGAAGGGCAGACAGCGAACTGGCGGGGATGAGAGCGGCTCCGACAACGTCCCAAGGAGACTGTTCCTAGGTGGAGACAGATGGATTTAGGGAACCCCCAACTGTTCTCTGCCTCCCAATCGGCCCGATCCCCTGGGCTAGAGTAAGATCCAGCCATGGTTCCCAGCTTGTGGCCTCACTGCCCGCAACAGTTGGCTGGGGAGGGATAGGGGGCGGGAGAGGCGAGTGTTGCAGTTTGGACACTTGGGTCCCCGGTCGCCCCCTCCTAGTACCACCTGCCCTAGGCTAAGCCAGTGAAAGGACCTCTGGGATTCCTTCTCGCCCCCGCAGGCCGACAAGACTGTGCGTTGCTCCGGGCCTCTCTGCTCACGTCCTTCCCCGTGTCCCCAGGGTGTCCCCTCCCAGCTCGTTCGTCTCCTGTATGTCCCCTCGCTCTCTGCAGCTCTGCACCGCGCACCCCTCTACCGGCTTACAGTCTCAGTAGATCTCCCGGGTCTTCGGTCCGGGTGCTCACCTCCAGCTCGCTGCCCTTCCTCCTCGAGCAGGGCAGGACCGCGCGCGCTCCAGAGTTCTCCGCGTATCCTCCTGCCTAGGTCTCCGCCGTCCTTGCCCCATCTCCGACCGGATTCCAGCACCAATAGCCTTAAGTTGGTGGCGAAGTTGCCGCCCCCCACCTAGGGTTGCTGGCCCGCCCCGCCTCCTGCAGTGCACTCACCCGGGAAGAGAAGGGGCGCTTCGCCCGCCCGCTTGTCCTCCTGCGCCCTCGCCTCCGACTCCTCACGGAATCCCGCTCCTCTATGACTTATGCTGCGGCCGCCCTGCCAGGGGCTCCGGGAGGGCACCGCGAGCGTTCAGTTGGAAGCTAAGCCCAGGCGCTCCGGAGCCACTACCAGATGTGCTGGGCCGGGCCCTCCCCGGGACTCCATGCTCCTGGCCCTTGTCCCCCTCCGTGCCTGGCTGGCGCGGCTAAGCTGGGCTGGGCTGCCCACTTCCAGCTTCGCTTCGCTCGCCAGTTTAAATGTAGCCGAGTCGTCCACGGTTGTTGCCTAGTCCCCCGCAAGTCCTGTAGGGGCATCGACTCCTTCCGTCTCCACGCCCCTCCCTCCCGCCCGCCCGCCCCTCGGAGCGCAGCCCCCCTTCTGCTCCCAGAGTCAGCCCGGAGTCAGCCGGAAGGCAGCGTTGGATCGCTTGGGCTCCTCAAGCCACTTTGCATGCAGCCTTAACGCGGATGCTCCGATCTCTTCAGTCCACCTCCTTGCTCTCTCCCCAACCTCTCTCTGGGCAGGGAAACGACCGGGAAGGGGAATCAGGGGGAAAAGGACGTGGCGGGCCAGGACTCCTGGCTTCTCTTCTGCGCTTTGGACCTCTTCTTCATTTCTAGAATACACACCATTCCCCAGGCTCTCGGAGTGACCCCCCAGCTTCAAAGGGGGCTTGGAAACCCACGTGGAAAGCACGATCAATGACGGCAAAGGGCTGAAGGAGCCCCAGCCAGGAGGAGGGGTGCCCTCCACGGACAGAAAGGTTGCACAGCAAGCCCTTGGGAACAGGGAGGGGGAAAGGACAGCTCCCAGCTCTGCCTTTTCTCTTGCTTCTTCTCCTCCTCCTCTGAAACCCAGCGTTAACAGCCTGGGAGAAGCCAATGAAAGCCTGAGGGAGATGGGGCTGACTGGTGCTCCTTGGCCTCCTTTACCGAAAGGGCTCCTCACCTGGAGCCCCTGAAAACTCGGAGGGGAAAACATTTACATCTTCATTTTCATGAGCTTCTAACTGAAATCTAGCATGACTTTCCATTATTTAAAAATGTTCTGAGAAGAGGTCCCTACCCGTCACTTACCATGCCAGAGGGGCCTATGCCACCAAAAAAAAACTATCCGTTTGGAGACAAGGGCAAAAAATTGAGAGCAGCAAAGAATTTCAGGGAGGGGGGCCTGGGTTCCCCATTGGGCCCAGCCTCAGGGACTGGCAGGGATCGCCAAGCTAAGTGAGGAGGTAGATCTCTCTTAGGGGAGACACACCACCACCTAGTGGCCATGCAGGGTCAAGGGCTATTGAGAGGGTAACCCTGGGCAGGATCCAAAGAAAGAACCCATCTCACTAACACAGTTCTTTATTTCTCCTAAGACTTTTATTCCAGTTCTTTACTTCCACCTTGGTTTCTGATACCTGTGGCCCACTGAGACATGTCAGATGAAGGATGAGTTAGGACGGCAGTGGGCATCTATGCTCTGGTTTAGAGCACAAATGTAAACTGAGGCTTCTGGGGCTTCAGATCTCTGACCTGCCCTCCCCCAACATAAAGTGATCCAAACGCTAGCAGCTAAAACAGAACATGCTAAAAACAAAAAACAGTGGAGGGAGGGAGGCAGAGAAGTTGCTCAAAAGGGCACTGGAGGCAGTGGCATAGGCCAGGGACCCCCTGAGAAAGAGGGGTGGGGGCAGCCAGGTACAGTGAGCACAGAACTCTAGGGCAAACTGTCCTTTGTCCCTCCTTGTCCCTTCTCTGGTCCAGCCCAGGCCAGGTCATGTTACTGGATCACTCCCACCCCTGAATTTGGCCCTGTCACACTCTGGCCCAAGTCAGATCTGAAGACTCAGTGTCTTATTATTCGTAGCATCTGTTGTGGATCCACCAGTTTTTCTCGGGGCTTCCCAACTGCCTGGCCCTGAGCCACCTCTTCATCATCCAGCTTCTCCCAGTCCTCGAAAGAGACAGGCTGGACCCCTGGAGTAGGAAAAAAAGGGGCACACAGGTCAAGTCTGCCTGAACTACCCCACTAGCCACTGCCACTCTACCTTTCTACCTTTGCTCCCTCATCCCAACAGGTGCACAACAAAATCTCTCACCCAACCTCTTGCAAACTTCCCTATTTCTCTTAGGGCATCACCCTCCTTCCTTTCTCTCATATTCACAAGGTGGGCCCTATTCTCTCTTTCTCCCTCTCCCTTACCCCTGTTATCTAAGAGTTGCCAAATTTTGCCATCATCTTCTCTATAATATCTGACTTTACAGTGGTCTCCCAATTAGTCTCTCAGATTTGTCTTTGTAGCTCCTAGCAAATAGGATATAGTACTGTGTATTATATACTCTAATTCACAGTATAATAAGTACACAGTATAAGTCTGTTTGATTGATTCCTGCTCCTTACCCCACCCCAAAATCTCCACTAACCTCAAGAGTTGAGGACTTCCAAAAAAGAGACTGACTCAAGACTAGGTTTCTCTTCTCTCCCATTCTCCTTTATTTCCTATAGATTTTCCTCCAGTCCTTCCCAGCCCGTTGGCTCCATGGCCTTTAAATCAACAATGAAACAAATCAGGCAGGCTCTCAATTTCTGCTGCCAGGGGCTGCCACCCATCCTACCTCGATTCTTGAGTAGGGGCTCTATGATGGCGTAGCCAAGCTTGGGGCCTAAGGGCAGCACTCCCTCCTCAAGGTCTTGGAGCAGGGCCTGGCCAGTAAGGAAGCTGTCATTCATGGTGGTGGCGATAACACCCGTGGGCCCTCGCTTAACCCAGCCACTACAGTACAGACCTAGAGACAAAGGCAAGAAATGGAACAAACAGAATTGAGAGCATGAGTTTGGGCACATGCCTGACAACCCTGCCACAGACACACAACATCTGTGACAGCCTGGCCTGCTCTGGCATTCAAGGCCCTAGGCAACCTGGTTCCACCCTACTTTATCTTACACTCCCCTGCTCCTACATGATACTCTAGCCAAATGATGGCTGCCTGTGTCTCATACACACTCTGCTTTCCTCACCACCTTTCCTATGATGCCTCTGCCACCTGTTGATTTGTAACCCCTCCCTTAAAGATCAAATCAAATGGTGATCATCGCTTCTTAAACTGCAGGTCTCGACCAAGCACTGAAGGGGTCTTGAGTGGAAAAGGTTTAAGAAGCCCTGCTGAGACTAGAAAACTCCTCTGATTCTCAGAGGAAGTAATAACCTTTCCCTCAAATGTCTTACATAGTTACTGTTATTTGTGTCATATCCCCCAATCCACCACTTCCCCAGGAGGTCCATGAGGTCAGTCAGTCAATCAACAAGCATTTATTAAGTGCCTATGTGCAGGCACTGTGCTAAGGGTTGGGAACAGAGTACAAATACAGACAGAAAGACAGTCTCAGCCCTCAAAGAGGTAACACTCTAATGGGGGAAGACAGCACATAAAAGGAAGCCTATTTTCCATCTCACCAGTGGTAACCTACCTGTGTTCTGCATACAGCAGATGCTTAAATATTTGTTGAATTTAATTTTGTCTGCTCCAGTCTATCTCCAGGTATCTCCATCTCTGTGGCTATTCGCTCTTCCTACATCCAACTGTTTCTCCTCCTCCCCTTTATATCCACCCTACCTCTTCATCCGTGTCTACACATTTCATTCCAGGGTGACTCTCCCTAAGAAACAGCCATCCAACCTCTCTCCTCCTTTCCTTTGAAAAATAACTTTTCCCAGATCTTTATTTTATACCACCTATATTTTTCTTTTTTTCTTTCTTTCTTCTTCTTCTTCTTCATTTTTTTTTTAGACATTTGGGGTTAAGTGACTTTCCCAGGGTCACACAGCTAATAAGTGTCAAGTGTCTGGTCTGAGGCCAGATTTGAAGTCAGGTCCTCCTGACTCCAGGGCTGGTGCTCTATCCACTGTGCCACCTGGCTGCCCCACCTATATTTTCCAAACTATCCCTCCCCATCCCCTTGCCAGAAAGCCATCCCATGTAACAAATAATTTTTTAAGGGAGAAAAAACAGTTCAGCAAAGCTAGCAATACTTTGAAAAAGTCTAACCTTAGAGTGCTCCATACCTATTGTCCCCCACCTCAGTACCTTCTCATATCTCTTTCCCCCTCCCACTTTTAAACCACCACCTTCACACACACCTGGTGCACCCAACACACGACCCTCACTGTTGGGGATAATTCCAAGCTTGGGATCAAAGGGTACAGTGGGGTCAATTGGATGGCTCTTGTAACCAACACTGCTCAGCACCAGTCCACATGGTACATCCTCCACTGCCCCTGTGGGCACTGCTTGGGCATTCTCACCAGAGCCCTACAGGAAATAAAGGGGACACAGCATGACAAGGATTGAGTATACATTCAAATAAGATGCCCACAGCACACCCCATCTAAGAACCTTATAACCAGAATCAATGCAAGGAGCTGGCTGTCATGGCATTTCCCACCTTATCCTTCCCATTAAGGACTCCCTAGAGGTCTTGGGAAGTGTGAGGAGCTCCTACAGGCAGGGATGGAAGGAAAGCAGAGGGCTTGCTCTACACTTACCTCTAGTCTCATGACATCCAGGCGGATCCCAGCAACTCGACCTCCATCTGGAGAGGCCAGCACCTTCTGAGGACTGCGTAAGAAGCGGAGGCCCCAGGTTCGAGGAGTCTCAGCTCTCCTATCAGCCCCCTTGGCCTCTGGTGGCTTCAGTGCTGTTCGTACCAGAAGCTCCAACAGCCGCTTCCTTGGACGGGGAGCCTCTGCCAATAGCATACAATGGTTCTGAGACCGTTCCCTTTCCCGTGGGCCAGGTGCTCAGCCCTGGACCAGCCTGGACAGGTAACTTCCTTCTGGAACTCAATGTCTCTCTTGGATTTTCCTCCCTCCAATCACCAGAGGAACCCAGATTCAATGCCTCTTACCTTTGATCAACTCTTCCAGACCTGAGAAATCTGTAGGGTCCAAAAGAGGCTGGCTCCCAGGTAGGTTAATCATCTCCCGGAGCTCCTGGAGGCCATTAGGAACATGATTGGAAATGTGAGGGTATCAAGGGAAGAGAAAGACCAAGATCTCAATTCCCTGAGACCAGTCCAATCCCATTCTAGGGGGGAAAAAAGGTAACATTCGTTTTGAAGAACCCTATTTGCCATTTCCCCAACCCTTCTCACCTTGATGGTAAAGGCTGCCTGCAGGGGGCCCCTGCGGCCCACAATCCACACCCTTTGCACTTGGCTCTGTTTCAGCACCTTCAGCGCTTCGGCAGTGATGTCTGTTTTCTGAAGGATAAGAAGACCCTTGAAAGTTTCTGGCACTGAGGAACAGGGGGCAGGAATTCCTTCCACTCAGCTTCCTAAACCCAGGGTCTTAGAGATACAACAGGTTGGTCAGAAACTGCACCAGTTCCCCCTGGTGGTCAGAGTCGGTACTGTGCCCAACTCAACTAAACCTAGGGCAGGTAGCGGCTAATTCTCAATTAGAAGGCAGAGACCTCCACTGCACAAAGAGAAGACTGAAGCTCAGGACCAGGCTGACGGGGGTAAAGGTGGAGCTGTAAGACTTGAGCTCTCTAGGCAGTATTCCCTCTGCACATCATGCATCCTCCACAATCCCTGCTCCCCCAACACTAGTCACCTCTAAGAGCTCTGTTGGGGTCAATAGGATCCGAGCCACATCCAGAGCCACATTCCCTTGTCCCAGAATCAATGCCGTATCACAGTTCAGGTTAGGTGCCAGCTGAGGAGGAAATGATTCAGAAGAGGGGACTCTGACCAGGCCCGAAGCTGCTCCCTCCACATCCACCCCAGCCCTCTCTCTCTGAAGGTCCTGGATTCTCCTTTCTCTGCCTGCCATGATTCTTCCACCCCTTTCTCAGCTCTGTGCTCTGATTAAGCTAGCTTACTTGTTCACACAAACCATTTGCCTGTTTCCATCTCTGTGATTCTGCCTCTATCTGCTAGAAGATCAATCCCATCCTCATTGCCAATGTATATCCTTCTTCAAAACCTGTCCCACCCTCTGAGAGGCCTTCCTTGTGAACACCCCTTCCCTCTGATCAAGCTCCTTTCCTCAATGTTCACTCTGTACTTTAGGTGTTTAGTTTTCTCTATCTTTTTTATGTGTCTAGTGTTCCCCATTAGACTGAGAGGTTCACCCCCCACCCCTACTTTTCTTTCCATACTCCCTCCCCAGTTTGAACACAGTAGAGATGATCGCTGGCTACCTCTGGCCAGGAATAGAGCCTGAGAGCTCTATTCCCCAAGAAGTCTGGAGGAACCAGGCATGCCTCTTCCCCCCAACACTCACCTTACGGTTCTCAGGTAACCCGTTGTACCAGCCCACAAAATCCCTGGCAGAGATTACACCCGGCAGCTCCTCACCTGGAATGCCCAGGGTCCGGTGATCCTCTGCCCCATAGCTCTGTAAAAGAGAACAAGTCCCAGGTCTCTGAACAACCCACACTACCCACTGGCTACTAGAAAGGTCAGATCAACTGATGGCCACGTTCCTCTTCCCCGACCCCACTATCTCCCGCTGTTCCCAGGAGTACTCTAGCCCTTTGTATATTTGCCCATCTCTCCAGAAGTTTGCATTACCCCCTCACGTCCAAACATACCTTAAACTGTCTGCATCCCCTACTTACCCCTACCTTCCTTCATACCCACGGCTTTCCATCCCGCAACCACACTGAATCCCAAATGCCCCACCTCTCCAAATTTCTAACCTCTTTGCTTTTATGATCTCCCCCAACCCCAAACTTTCACAAGCCACCCATCCCTTCTACTTACTAACACAACAGCATGGTAGGCTTCCTGAAGCTCCGACACGGACACGTCCCTTCCCACAGTCACATTGCCTCTGAAGGCACATCGAGGGGAATAAGCAGTCTGGGTAAAGGTGTTGATAACATTCTGCCAGAGGGAAGGAGGAGTGAGTGCCATGGGACCAACCATCCTTATGCCATCCTCAGTTCTACATCATATGGACATATGGCAGGCTTTGGGGTCAGGAAACCTCTGGGGGGTAGTCTCATCAGCCCCCGAGGTGCCCAGGCACAGAGTCTGCTGCCTCTTTCTCATCTTGGCTTGAGTCCTTGTGGACCCCCAGCCCTCGGGAACCCACCTTCACCTCCGGGTGATCGGGAGCCACTCCAAAGCGGACCAAACCAAAGGGCACCAGCTGCTTCTCATAGATGTCCACCTGAGCCTGAGGATGGTGCTAAGGAGAGACGGCAGCGGCTGCAGTGACTGGAGAGCACCTTCGAACAGAGATTCCTCCTCCCCTCCCCTCCCCCACCATCAGCAGAGCTGGAAGTGATGAGCTGTTACATTCTCCTCCTGAGAGAATTCAGTTCAAACAGATCAGAAGATTCAAAAACCAGGTCTTACGTCTTAGAAAGGCTCTAATAATAATAACTCACATTGAGATAGTGCTTCAAGGTTTGCAAAGCACTTTAATACATTATTGCATTTGATCCTCACCTCAGCTCTAGGAAACATGTCATTATTAACATCCCTGTTTTTACAGAGTAGGAAACTGTAGTTTTGGAAAGTTAAGAGACTTGTCCAGGGTCACACAGCTAGGAACTATCTGAGATGTGATCAGAACGAAGCCCTTCACACTGCTCTGAGACTAGCACTCTGTCTCCTATAGGAGTGGTGTCAAATTCAGAGCCCTGTGGGCTTCATGTTGACTTAGGAAACGACAAATTAATATCTATGCTGTATTGTATTTTTATTTATTTGTTAAACATTTCCCAATTACATTTTAATCTGGCTCAGGCAGCATTCTAGGTTGTTAGATATCTCTGCCCTATCCCACACTGCCCCTTAAGGCCTACTGGAAGGACTAGTGGCCCAGCAAATCTTCATCTGCACTGAGGTCTGCCCAAGAGGCAGCAAAGACAGCAGGACAAACTGAGATGTTATCATGAGCAGGTCAGGAAGGCTTTTTTCTTTTTTTTTTTTTTAATTGGAGTTTGGTGAATCACAAGGGTTTCCCCAGTGACGTAGGCATTTCCCTGTTCTGAAGCACACAGAAGGCTTGGATGATGGCTCAGGCACACAGAGTAACTGAAATATTACTTTAAAATGGACACTCAACTCTGATCACCTCACCAGGAACCATGCTCTAATACTCCTGCCCATCACATGGCAGCAATATACAGTGTGTTCAAACATGATTTTTAGCAAAGGACTCTGGCCTTTAAAAACACCATTCCCCCAGGCATGGAGTCAATCATAATCCTCCCTCCCCCCTAATTTTACTCCCAGTCACCAAGATTCCTTGATCCTTCCTTGGCACTATCTCTCAAATCTGTCCCTTCCTTTCCTTTCCCACTATCACAACCCTAGTTCAGAGTTAATGACCCTCGTCATTAACTACTGAGATGATTACAACAGTCTGGTAAAGGTTGTCCTTTCCTCCATGATTTTCCCTCCTCTCAACTGCTACCCCCACCCCTCAACTACTCTATTCAGTGTTGCCTGATTGGTGTTCCTAAAGCATAGATCTGATATCACTTCAGTGGCCCTACAAAATTGAGTAACCTTCTCCCATCTGGCTCCTGCCCACTCTCCCACCTTTTCTCCCACTTCACCTCCATGTGAATCCCTTTCTGCAAATTGGCCTATTCATGGGCTTCCCACAAAATACACAACATGAAGTAGCATATCCAGATCTCAGCTGAGTGACCTTTAGACAAGTCACTTCACTTCTCTCTCAGGGCCTCAGTTTCCTCATCTGTTGGAATGGATGATTTCTAAAACCTCTTCCAGCTCTGATTTCCTATGATCCTAGATCACGTATACCATTTATAACTTTGCTTTTGACATTCCCCCAGTCCAGAATGCCCTCCCCAACTTCCTCTTCACTTATCTAAGTCCTGTCTATCTTTCAAGGTCCATATTAAGCCCCACTTTCTCTGCACAGTTGTCCCAGGCCATCCCAGCCCCCAGTAATCTCTCCCTCCTTTCTCTGAATTCCATTTATTATGTGCACCATTCATCTGACAATATATACTGCCTTCAGCCATCATTATCTTTTTGCAAATGACTAGAGAAAATCAATATATAAAATGAATTTTAATTTTTCCTTCCTGTTTTTCATTTATAACATATCCTGTCTTTCCCATTAGACTGTCTCACAAGGCCTAGTCTGTATATTCTCTCTTCCTTCCTTACTGTACCTGAGCATGTAGTACTGATATTCTCCTAACAGCTTAACTGATGACTCCACCTGTACACGGCTTGTCTTTCTGACTAGAGTCTAAGCTCCTTGAGGACAGGGATCCTGTCTTGCACCTCTTTGTTTGGAAAGCACTATGCTCTATAGAGTAGTTACTAAGTAAATATTTATTCACGATTCCCCAAGCCAAGCCCTCTCCATCCCCTACCAAGACCCTGAGTTTATGATTTTCTCCTTCAAAGTGGAGCTCATAAGGGCTCAGAAACAGAAATCCATACATGATTAGGAAGCCAAAATGCAGGGGGCAGATTTGATGTCTGAATGACTCAACCTGGTTCCCCCATACTCTGGCCTTTTTCTTGTGGCTTCTTTCATTGTCTGCCCTTTCTGATGCAGTCAAGACTCGCCTATTCACCTGTTGCCACCAATATACTTTAAGCTCCTTAAGAGTACCCATAGATGCTCAGAGCACAGTATGGGCTTCTTTCTGGACACTTTAATTATACCATATTGGACTCTTCCTTCCTGAATCCTTTCCCCACCTCCCTCCCTTCCTCCCCCAGCAGGGAGCTGGCCCTGAGGCTCAAGGGAAACAGGCAGCCTTGGGGCTTTGCCCACCAAGGCCAGTGACTTCAGCATGAAGAGCTCAGCCTTCACCAGAAAGATGAACCAGAGAAACATCTGAGGAAAGGGGAGAGGATGAGTCATGAAGCAGCAAGGTCTTAGTAGAAAGAATACTGGCCTAGAAATCAGGAGACCTGGGTTCTAGTCTCAACTCTACCACTACCTGACTTTGTGACTCTAAATTATTCCTTTCACTTCTCTGGGTTCATCTGTAAAATGAAGGGGTTAGATGAGATGGTCTCTGTGGTCTTCTCTGGGAGTTTTAACAGTCTATAATCCTAAGGTTAGGGACTATAGTGAAAGGACAGAGAAATAGGGCTGGGACGAGAGGTGGTTAGGGGCAGTTTTGAGATGAAGAGGTAGAGGAAGTAGAGAAGGCTTGGAACAGGAAGTGATTGCAGAAAGAACTGGGATGGTTGAAAAAATGATAGACTAAATTAAGAAGCCTCTCCATCACACAGGCCAGCACCAGGGGACAGGTGGGAATACCCTACCACATCAGCATTAGCCAGGCTAGATACCTTCCTAAAGACCCCTGGGGGAATCTGCGCTGCTCCAAGATGAGCAGAGAAGATGGAAGGGGGGTATGTGAGAAGAATCCACAGAAATAGGATTATTAGGCCTGGAAGAGTCCTGAGAGCTCATCTGCTGCAAAACCCTACTTTTCCATATGAGAAGCCTGAAGCTTGGAGGGAAAAGAAGTGTTCTTTACCCTCCAGAATCTGGGAAATCTGTTGAAGTGCCTTCCATGAATAGGATGCTACAGAGCTTCTCTGTCTTTAACCTCTTGAAGGAGCTGGGCCAAGGAAAGAGGAGAGACAAGGAAGAGTCACATACCTTCAGCAGGTGTTGGGCTGTATAGAAACCAGCTGGGCCACTGCCTACCACACAGATGTGAGGGGCCAGCTCTAGGGTAGAGAACAGCTGGCGGAAGCCTGGGTGTGGGGAGGGGTTAAGTCAGAAACACCTCATCTCATGCCAAGGATATCCCCTCCCATGCAGAAGTAAACCAGCACCAACCTCCTATGGATGCCATAGTTTTCTCCTCTTCCTCCTTCCCTTGTAGCTTATGTACTTTGTCTTGTTACTTTACTAGTACCCTACTTCCAGCCAGTCCCCGACCTCAAAGCCCAGGGAAAGTCAGCAGCCCATACAGAGAGAAGCTGTACACCTCCACTCCACCCTTCATTCATTCATTCATTCATTCCTATTTTCTCTCTCTGTTTCTGTCTCTCCTTCACACACACATATATACATAGGGCCCTTACATCTCACCTCTACATATTCATTCACTTTTCTCTCTTCTGTTCCCTTCTTCTCCCCCTCTCCCCTTATATGCATCCATTCACTCATTCTTCTCTCTTTCTCCCTTCCTCCTCACTGCCACAGGGACCTTATCTCACCTCCACACATTCTCTCTCTCTCTATTTCACTTTCACTCCCTCCTCCATAAGGTCCTTATACTCCACCTCCACACATATTCTCTCTATTTACACACACACACACACACACACACACCCTCACTCTCAGTCCTCCCGTCGCCACATCAGGCTCTCCCTCTATGGCAGACGGCCCACACTATCACGTGTCACTTCCATATCCCCCCCCCTAGAAATGCCCGATGCCCCTCCCCCATATCTCGCATACTCCCCCCAACTGGGGAAGGGGCAGTGGGGGGGGTGCGCCTCCGCTCCCTCTGCTCCCCCCCATCTCCAATGGGCTCTGAGCCGAGGGTCAGCGGGGCTGGGCTCCAGCCTGGACCTGGCCCCTGACTCGCCGGGGGTGACGTCGGGCAGCCAGATCCCTTCACCTCTCTGGGACTCAGTTTCCTCACCTGCAGATGAGGGGGAGGGGCCTTCATCTCTTCCCCTCCTCTTCCCACCCCCGGAGACCTCCGCCCCCCATTGGTGCCCATCTCGTACCGAAGGGGAAGGCAGCACCAGGAAGCAGCAGGGCCCGAGGCCGCGCCGCCCAGCGCCAGTAGCCCCAGCCCTGGGGAGCCATGGAGAGCCAGGGCCAAACACCTGCGGGTTGGGAGACCAAGACCCTCGAGCCTCTGGAGGCTCCGCCCCGCCAACCTTGCGTCACGACCCAGGTCCCGCCCCTCCCGCACCGGCCTCTCAGGGCCATCCTGGCCCCGCCTCCTTCTGGGACGGGACCTCTTGGGCTCCACCCTCTATCATGCATGGCCCCGCCCCCAGCCCAGCTTCCGGGAGAAGAGATTACTGATGGTGCAGAGGCCCGCCTTAATGCTCATTTGAGCCAATCAGCAGGAGCAAAGGGAATGACAGCAAGTATAACTTCCCTTCATTTCTTTCCCTGCCTCCAAGCCGGCTCTGAGCATAGACCTCAGCCAATGAGAAGAGAGAGTTCTGATTTGCCCCGCCCCTTCTTTGAAGGCGTGGGGATTGGGCGCAAGATGAAGACTTTTCCCGTCTTTTTGTCTGTGATTCGTCTGGAAGATAAGACTGAGCTTAGTTCCGGCTAGTCCTAAAAAGGACGCTTAGTGTTCTGTGGCGATGACTTCATTTTCTTTTACTTCCTCGGGAACTTTCCGGGGCTGAGGCAATCACGCGCCCCAGGCTCAGGCCCAAGGGCATATTACCACCTCCCAAAGTGGAGGAGTGTGGATGCCCTGTCTCTGAAGCATATGACTTCCCGAGCTGGAAGGGTACTTAGAAATATCCATTTTACAGATGAGAAAACTGAGACCCGCAATACTAAAGTGGAATTGTGCAACGCCATGCTGCTTTTGTCACCTTGGTAGAATGGCACTAAACCTCAGGGAATTTTTCTGCAGCACTGTATCTGTCCCCTTCTCAGTGAAACGCTGGAGCCTTTGTTTCTGAAAATAAAAATAACAGCTCCCATTTCTGTAACATCTGGTTTATAAAATGCTTTCCTTCCAACAATCCTGGGAGACAAGGAGCAGATATGCTAATAACTTCCTTTTCTTTGACTCCTTCTTTAGGATCAGATTACTTAGTTTCCTTTTAATTTTTAATCTATGTTTCCATGGCCCTTTATTGAATGTAGTTTTTATTGCATTTTGATCTGAAAAGAATTCATTTAATATTTTTGCTTTTCTGTATTTGGTTGTGAGGTTTTTATGCCCTAATACATGGTCAATTTTTGTGTAGGTGTCATGTACTGTTGAGAAAAAGGTATATTCCTTTCTATTTCCATTCAACTTTCTCCAGAAGTTTATTATATCTAATTTTTCTAAAATTCTATTCATTTCTTTAGCTTCTTTCTTATTTGTTGTTGTTGTTGTTGTTAGATTTATCTAGTTCTGAAAGGGCAAGTTGAGGTCCCCCACTAATATGGTTTTACTGTCTATTTCCTCCTATAACTCGTTTAACTTTTCCTTTAAGAATCTGGATGCTATACCATTTGGTGCATATATGTTTAATATTGATATTACTTCATTGTCAATGGTACCTTTTAGCAAAATATAGTTTCTATGTTGATCTTCTTTAATTAGAGCTATTTTTGCTTCTCCTTTTTCTGAGATCATGATTGCTGCTCCTGCTTTTATTTTTCTTTAGCTGAAGCACAATAGATTTTCCTCCTGCCCATTGCCTTTACTCTGTTGTGCGTCTTGTAAATTATATGTTGTAGGATTTTGATTTTTAATGCACTCTGTTGCCTGCTTCTATTTTATGGGTGAGTTCATCTCATTCACATTGACAGTTATGATTACTAATTGTTTATTTCCCTCCATCCCTCCCTCCCCCTTCCCTCCTCACCGTTTATCCTTTTCTCTCTTTCCTTTCCCCCTGTCCCTCCTCAAAAGTATTTTGCTTCTGACCACTGCCTCCCTCATCACCTTCCCTTCTATCAGTCCCTCCCAACTTCTCTTATCCTCCTCCCCTCCTACTTTCCTGTAGGGTGAAATAGATTTCTATAACCATGTAAGTGTGTATATTATTCCCTCTTTGAGCCAATTCCAGTGAGAGTAAGGTTTTCAAGTGTTGCCCAATAGCCCCCCCCATCTTTCCGTCCTGTGTAAAGGCTCTTTTAAACCTCTTTTATGTCAGATACAGCTAGCATGTTTCTGAGTAGGATTTCACCTGAAGCCTGCTTAATATCAAGTATCAAGCATTTTCCTGACTTTTTTTTTAAGGTCTGCAAAGTACTTAAATTACTTACATTATCTCATTTAACCTCACAAAAACCCTGTAAGATAGGTACTAGAGATGTCATCTCCATCCATTCTATGGGTGAAGAAACTGAAGCTCAGGGATTTCCTGTTCTTTCATTAATGATGGAGGTCATAGCTCCTCTAGCAATCTTCAGAAAGCTTTGGTAAGCCTTTCGTGAACTCCCCACCCCCTAAGGAACCTCATTCAAATTTCCTACCCCATTCCCAATACAGATTACTAGTGGACAGCTTCAGCTGCCTTGTTAATAATCTATGCTCCTTTGTGCCCCACTTCCCGAGGAAACAAAGGGGAACCATGTGTAACTGTGATATGAAGTATTTATTAAGCGCCCACTGTGAGCCTTCGGAACATTTTACAGATATCTCCTTTGATCTTCCCACGACCCTGGGAGGTGGGTGCTGTTATTATCCCCATTTTACACTTGAGGAAACTGAGGTGGGCAGACGAGAATCGTGTTGCCCAGGGTCACACACTGCTAATAACATATCTGAGCTCTTCCCAACTTTAAGCCCAGCGCTCTTTAAATCCACTTCAATGCCTAGATGCCAAGGGGGAAACTATGTGTGACTGTGATATTAACAAGTATGGAACCAAAGATTCTGGTATCCTACCCACCCACCTCCTCCTCCTCAGTTCTCCAGGAATGTGAGAGGGCAGACTCTCCTGTCTACTACACCAAATGTAAGGGGGCAGATCTGTTGTTCCCTCATCATGCCGATTGTAGGGTGGCATGACCTCCAAGAGAACACTGAGATACCAAAGAAAGAAGCAATCATACCAGCTTGGTTACTAAAAGGTTTTATCAAAGTTAATTAGGCTAACTGGAAGAGTACACTCACAAGAGGCCAGTTGTCCTGGGAGGCAGCAGAGCAATATAACACTGTGGATCTCCACACCCACACCCGGTCAGGTATTATATAGAAACACAGCAAAGAGGGCACAGCGCCAGGGGTGACCCAGGGTCACTTGCAAGCGATCCCATGGGATAGTTGGAGCTTCTACAATAAGAGAACACTGCTTCTATCACTCCAGCTGCACAATCAAGGTTGGGAAACAAATCACAATGCCTTTCTTTTTTAAGGCAGTTGAGGTTAAGTGACTTGCCCAAGGTCACACAGCTAATAAGTGTCAAGTGTTTGGTCTGAGGCCGGATTTGAATTCAGGTCCTCCTGACTTCAGGGCCAGTGCTCTATCCACTGCGCCACCTAGCAGCCCCAATAAATGTTTTAATTCAAAGCTGGTTTCCCAGGGCCCTGCCTCACTTCTTATATTTTTATCCTTCCTCTTTACCCACATTCCTTTTCACTATCACTATCATTATCACCACTATGTCATGGCAACCATCATCACCATTGCTCATTTGCACCACCATCATTTTAATCGCCACCACTATCATCCCCATTACCACCACCACCATTACTATCATCATTATCAACACTGCAACCATGATCATCTGCATTCACTGTGTCCTTGATGTATGTAGGTCACCATGTTAGATTCTGAGGATGCAAGAATGTCCTCAAGGATCTTACAGTTTTGTTGAGACGTAAGATATGCCTACCTCTCAAGGTTGTTGTGAAAACCAAGTGAAATAATGGATGACTAACTGTATGAACTTGGGCAACTCTTTACTTCTCTTGGACTCAGTTTCCTCATCTATATAATTGAGGAGTTGGCTAGATGATTTTTAACACTTTTTAAAAAAAAATTTTAACTTAAATATCAGGAAAAAAAATAAGTATTTCCACATACACAATGGAACACAAAAAAGAATGTACATGAAACAGTAACTCTCCATTGCATATCACTTTTTAAAATAAAAAGTCTGCAATAAATTCCACACATTACTTTCAATACTGTTCTGTTTGTGCTTTTACTCTTCTCTTATGCACATTTTGTTTTTTTTTCAAACAGCAAAAATATGCCTTCTCTCTCTCATCAGCCACCCAAGTGAAACAGAAAAAGACATTCCTATAGCACACATATATGATTAAGCAGAATAAATTCTGCACTGGCCTTGTTCAAAAACAAATATGTCTCAGTCTGCACTGAGTCCTTCACATCTTTATCAAGAGATGAGTAGAAAGTTCCATCATAATTAAAAGTGCTTTCCCCCTCCAGAGAGAGAACTGACAGATTCTGAGTGCAGATTGAAGCATTTTCTCTTTATTTGTCTTTTCTTATCCCCCCACCCCTGAAATGTGGCTAATGTGGAAATATTTTGCATGACTTCATATGTATCATGAGTACTGCATTTCTTGTCTTCTCTCTCTCTCTCTCTTTTTTTTAAGGTAATTGGAGTTAAGTGATTTGCTCAGGGTTACATAGCTAGTAAGTGTCAAGTGTCTGAGGTCGGATTTGAACTCAGGCCTTCCTGAGTCCAAGGCTAGAGCTCACTTCT